GTGTTACAACAACCAGATAGTCTACTGGATTTGTTACTCACTTGCACATCAAGATAAGCTTCAGATGAATGTAAAAAAAGGAAACCATACAAATATACAGGGCAAACCGTATGGATTCCTTATTGAGAAATAGTACATTCTAAATAAATGTGTTTCAATAATTAAGCTTAAAAAACAAAACATCATATGGCAAAAAAATATTAATAAGTGTTTGGTAACTGGGAAAATTATTTTTAACATATTTAAGGAGAAATATCCCTAATAAACAAGGAATTTCAGAGTCGCTTGGAAAACAGTTTGAAAGTTTCTTAAAAAGTAATTACAACTTACATATGACCCAGCAATTCCATTCTTAGGTCTCTAAGTCAAACATAAGCACACTTCTACACAAATACCTGCATGTGAATGTTCACAGTAGCATTTCTCATAACAGCAAAAAAAAAAAAAAAACCAGAAACAATCCAAGACTCTACCAACTAAGCAGATGGGTAAATAAAATATGGTACATCCATACAATGGAACATATTCAGCCATAAAAAAGGGGTAAAGTTCTAACACATACCACAACAGAGATGAACCTGGAAAACTACAGTGAGTGAAAAATGCAGTTGCAAATGATCTCACATGGTATCACTTTATAGGAAAGGTCCAGAATAGCCAAATTCACAGACAGAAAGTAGAACAGTGTTGCCAAGTGCTGGGGGAGAGTGACTGCTTAGGGTAAGGAGTTTCTTTACAGTACCATAAAAGTATTTTAGATATGGTGATGACTGTACAACCTGGAGAACATACTAAAAGCCATCAAATTGTACATTTTGAAAGAATGATTTCTATGATATGTGAATTATACCTTAATGTTTTCAAATACAGAAAAATAACAAAAACAGAAACACTGGGATTTGGTTATTTAAATAACTCAGTGACTCTGAATGCATCACTTTACCTTGCCCTTTATTTCTCCATCTATCTAAATACCACATTAAAGCATTCCTAGAGGCTTCATCTCTATAATAAATTTAAGAAGTTGGATAAAAGACGATCCAATCATACATGAATAACCCTGCAGCTTGAGGGGGGAAAGGCTGACAATATATAATAAACTGAAAACAGAGCTTCATAAAATAAACAATTCTCAATATATGATAATTTACCATTTTTTAACAGTCTAGGTGTCAAGAATCTTAAGTGCTTTTCACATAGTATTTTACTCTCCTAGCACCGTAAGGAAATCAAAAACATCTTTATTTAGAAAAAAGAGAAGAGACTATGAGAGGTTAAATGACTTGACCAACATAAATTAATTCAAGCTGGGCCTCAAACCCTGATCTATACACTTCAAACATTAAACCAAGGTATAACAAGAAGGAGAACAATGAACAAAAATCTGAAGTTCTGGGTTGAATGCTTTTTTCTGCCACTTATTGATTTTGTAATCTTGGCAGTTCAATGAACATTTGAGAGGTTTTTTTCCCCCATTTATTAAAAGCAAATGTTAACTATTGCCCTAATGTACTTCCTAGAATAGAAACAGGCACTGTCACATACATGTCAGTTAAAGTACTATAAGAGGTAACTATAGATAAGCAAAACTGTTGAAAAAACAAAATTAGTTGAATAATGAATTGTTTCAATATTCTACAGTCTCTCTAACGGTAATGCATTTACTAAAACAGTGATTTTCATAAGATATGCATATTCCTCTCAAGCACATTACAGGTACAAAGCAAGCAGGGAATCCCAAATTCACTTTAATCAGAGTAAATCCAAAAACTTTTACAAAAAGTTCAAAACTACCATATTTTTGGCATCATCTACTGGCATTTACTAAGGAAAAGGATTTTAGGCCTTATCTGAGAGAAATGTTGGTGTACAAAAAAGGAATGGATTCTAGAGACTAAACCTAGATGGAAATCTGGTTCTGCCACATACTAATGAGGCACTGAATTTCCTTACCTATAAATGTGAGGAAGCATCTACCTTGTAGGGTTGTGGGCTGATTAAATAAAAGAACAAAAATAAAACGACTACAAATGCTTGGCACATGGTCCTTTAAAAAAAGTAATTGCTATTATTACATTACCTAGCAATTCTTTTAGAACTACTAAATCCAATCTGAAAAACTGAAATATGGAAACACAAGAAAAATCATAAACTCTGAACATGCAAACACCCTAAATAAGGTTTAGTGAAATTGAAGAGATCATGAAAACAGTTGAAACACAAAGTCACACAAGAGAATGACAAGGGAACAGGAAGGACTTTAGGGTGAGATGGATGAGGGAATGAAAAAAAGGGGGATAAGAAAAAAGTTAAAGTATACAAGGAGAAATAAAGAAAAATGCTTTTAAAAAGGTGGCAGTTAGGCTTCATAAACAAGACTGACGAAGGAAAAAAGACTGAATCCTACAGGATTCTAAAGGAATAAAATACACAACTCAGACTTAGTATTCTCAGTATGACAACTATGAATTCAAAGCACACAAGTCTCAGTCAAGGGACCCAAGTCCAAGAACTTAGCTGTCCTGTCACTAAGCTTCTAAGGCTTAGCATCACCATGATCTGAATCTCAGTTTCCTCATTTATTATGAGAAAATATTTCCCCTGACTCTCAACTCACCTTAAAAAAAAAAAATACAGAATTTGCTGAGTCTCAACTGTACAATAAAATGGTGAAGTTAATCATTTCTAAGCGCTTTTAGCTTTATGATTCCAGGGTAAAAGAATCGATGAGTATATTATCATCAACATGAGATTTACATGCGGGCCACATATGTACCAATAAGGAAGTCGGGGGAAAAAAAAAAAAAAACAGGAAAATAAGCTACTTGAGGACCATATAGTTACCAGCATATGCTCTTCTCTTCACCATGCTGATAAAGAAGCACTTTTCAAAAGAGCTTTCTTTCCCAAGAAAAGCAATTAACCTACAATCAAGAAGACTAAAGGATCTATTTTAAAACCATAGATTCTTAACAACCATACAATCTCCTAATTAACAGACTGCCCCTTTACCTTCCCTTGGTATTCTAACCCCCAACCCTAAGCCAGTTCTTCATCTTCAGAAAATTTGTTTTGACAGAGAAGCTAAGCTCTAATTAAACTTACCTGCAACATGTATAGTTAATAAAAAGCTAGTATTTTTATCTATTTGTACAGAAAAATGCTGGTGTGACAAAACAGCAAATTTTAGTTTAAGAAAGTCAGCAACTAGGATACCTATCAATAATAAGGATTATGTTAACTTTATAATCCAGCTTAATTCTCCCAAATAATGTTATGAGTCAGTTTCCAGATTATTTTCACCCATGCTCTAGTCAAACCTTTCTGTCTTTCAGAGCCCAAAGACTCTTCACCTTACTTTAAATGTAGCCTTCTACTTCTCTCTATTGTGTGCCCATCTACTTACCTTCTCCTGTTAAAGTTTTCTCATTTTGCAACCCTCAAGGAAGTCTCATTCTTATAGGCAAATCTCCAATTCTTAGTTTACTTTCTGGTTTTTCCAACCATTCTCACACCCTCTACCCCACTTTTTATATGATTCTCCTTTCTCTTCATTCTTAGGACCTACTTTCACACCACTGTATCTCCTATCCTCATCTCCCTTTTGATCTGTTTTTTCATACATTACTTCTTAGGAACCTGAAGTTTCACTTTGCTAGTCTCTTTCAAGAGTCTCTACTAACTCATCTCTGGAATCCCAAACACCATACACATTCACAATGACCTAAGTGTTTGCTGCTTTCTACCAGCAAATCTACCTCTTTTCTCTTTACAACCAGCAGTCCCTGAATCCTCTCTGATAGAATACCCCTCAAAAACAAATGCCAATTCCATTCTGCTCTCCAGAAACTACCTTTCCTATGTTCAACTCATTCTCTTCCTATGTCCAAGAATCCCCTAACCTGGCACAACCCATTCAATGACCTAAAATTCCAAGTTTCCCTCCTCAACACAATTCTCCCTTTGCAGGACATTGTTTTCCCTAAAACATTTCTCATGGTACTCCCAATGTCCCACTAATTCTGGGTCTCACACCCTGGTGTATCTTTTCTCAGATCTCTTCAAGCTTCCAGGCCTCACCTCTGCAGCACTCACCAAACCTTACTGCTAGTCATTGCAATTTCTGCAGGCTGCAGTCACTCTAAACGCCAACCCTGACTCCTCAGCGCTGTTTCTTATTACCCTTAACAGTCTTCCTGGCTGTGTTCGCCACCTCTCCTCAGCTCTCCCTAATCAGTCACCCCCTCACTCCCTGAACCGCTTACACCTCCACGAACTCTCTAGAACCTTCTGCTCTTTCCTTCGCCAACCCTGCCTCACGTGTTTTCTTCTCCCCCACTTTTCCAGTATCTCGTTCTACTAATCGTCCCACTCCTGCCGCACCTTTCCTCAGTTGCCCCCCCCCGGGTCCCCTCAACTTTTCTCAGTCCTCCCTGGTAGATGGCCCCCCACCTCTGTTACCATTCTACTCCCTCTCCGCCATCCTCCCACATCCCTGAAATCCGCCTCTCAGCGGCCCCGATCTTTGCCTCATTCCCTTTTCCCTTCAACGAGATTATTTGTCGCCCTCCCATTTCCATTGACAGGCGCCTCCCCTAGTTCCCAAATCTGCCTGGCACTCCGCTTAATTGTCTCCAGGCCGCCGGAACATTGTCTGCCATCCTTGGCCTCTCACAGACTCATTCTCTAAAGACTGGGGCCTGGCCTCCCGCGAGAAGGGGGACGGGTCACGTACCCCATCCGCATCTTGGCTCCGCTCTGACTGCCCCCGCTGCCGGGAAGCGGAGGGCGAGAGGGCAGGCGGCCGAGGTGCATGCTCTTCTCGAGGGCCGACATCAAGGGAAGGCCGCACGCAAACAGTAGTCGAAGCTTCTTCCCACGTTAAGAGCGGCCCAGGCGGTCACGGCTCGCTCCCCCAACGACGTCCCGTCGCCTTTGGACAGCACCCAGCTACCGGCAGCACCGCCTACCGCCCACCGGCTCCGCAGGCTCCACCCCCTCGCTTCTGCGCCTCACCGGAAGTGCGCAACAGCCCTCCCACAAAGGCAGCTGGGTAACGGAGTCTGGGTTGGCCCCCCGCGTAGAGCTCGCGGGTCCTCTCGGGGAAAAAGGAGCGTTTCCAAAGGCAATGCACGCTGGGCAATGCAGTCCTCAACGGGCCTGTCCCTTTGCGCTTGCGCAGACGGAGGTGCCCCTGTCCGATCCCGCAGAGGTAGCGTAGCAAAGCATCCTGGGTATTGTAGTCTATTGGCGGGAAGGCGTCCTGGCGCCTTCCCTTCTCCAGGCTTTCGGGAGGCTGTTAGGGGAAGAGCCGCTTCTTCCTGCCTCCCAGGCTGCCCAGCGCTGCCGGTTGCTGGGGAACGCAGGCGCCGTGGAAGGGATGGCGGGAGGACACGGCTTGGGCGCTGGGACCGGAGCTGGATTGGTGAAGAACTCGGGCTCGTCATGAAACAACGGAAGGGCCTGGGGCCTGGGGGCGGTCGTGGGCGCAAGAAGAGAGGTAACGCGAACTGTTGACACCTGCGGAGCGCGCAGTGGGGCGGGCGTAACGGGGACAGAGGGTAAGGAAGTCACGGGAAAGCCCGTACACCTGCCGGTTTAAAATAAAGAGGGAAAATAGGGAAGCCGAAGGTTACAAGAGCGAGCCCGCCAAGGAATGCAAAGGAAAGCAGCTGGGCGGAGAGGGAGAGGAGGAAGAAGTGAGGCAGAGTGAGGCTTAAACCGGGGCTGGTAGGACGACTCCAAAGAACAAAACATTCCGCCAGGACTGTTGGTAACAAAGGTGAATGTGTGTGTACCTTCGGGAGTGCGCAGAGGGGTTGAAGAACAGAAGTTGGAGCGGAGAATGTGTTAATGATCCTAATAGGCAGTGATCACCTTTTTTTATTTTTTTAAAGATTTATTTATTTGAAAGGGTTACATAGAGAGAGGAGGAGAGGCAGAGAGAGAGATCTTCGATCCACTGGTTCACTCCCCAGTTGGCCACGACGGCCAGAGCTGTGCTGATCCGAACCAGGAGCCAGGGGCTTCTTCCATGTCTCCCATGTGGATGCAGGGGCCCAGGGACTTGGGCCATCTTCTACTGCTTTCCCAGGCCATAGCAGAGAGCTGGATCGGAAGTGGAACAGCCGGGACTCGAACCGGTGCTCATATGGGATGCCAGCACTGCAGGCGGCGGCTTTACCCGTTAGGCCACAGCGCTGGGCCCCCGTGATCACCTTTGATACTTTACTGAATCACCAAGGACTAGTGGTGACTTGCAGGACTCAGTAAATGTTAATTGAATGGAGCAGGAGTTGGGAAAGAGGTGTGGCACGTGGAGGGGCAGAGTGAGGAGAAGCAAGGTGTGGTAGAACTGAGAGTGAGGGCGCCAGAATCTCCTGCAGGACCTGAAGAATGAGCCCCTCAGGTTAGTAGTGCAAGGAAAAACAAGCTTGCCAAAAGAGTAGGGAGCGCTAACTGCAGTGAGGGGGTTCATGGCCAGGAGCCCTGAGCAGGTCAGGAAATCGGATCTGTGCAAGGCTGCCTCCAAGAAAAGCAAGAAGGACATTGGGTGCCCGCCTTTTTACCTTGTAGGCACTTTAAGAAGGAGAGAAGGGGCTAACGCTGTGGCACAGCGGGTTAAAGCCCTGGCCTGAAGCGCAAGCATCCCATATGGGCGCCGGTTTGAAACCCGGCTGCACCACTTCCGATCCAACTTTCTGCTATGGCCTGGGAAAGCAGTCCTTGGGCCTCTGCACCTGCATGGGAAACCAGGAAGAAGCTCCTGGCTTTAGATCGGCGCAGCTCAGGCCATTGATGCCAACTGGGAAGTGAACCAGCAGATGGAAGACCTCTCTCTCTCTCTGTCTCTACTTCTCCCTGTAACTCTGTCTTTCAAATAAAATAAATCTTAAAAAAAAAAAAAAGGAGAGAAGTGTTAGAAACACTCGGACATTAACATTAGGCCCTTGGGTTGAGGACAGAAGCTACAGTCTGGGAATGAATCCTGTCCAAGTAGGAACGTGGGGGGATTCAAGACTGGAGCATGGTGGTGTTCCGTGATGGTGCCCTTGATCAAGGGGAGGCAAGTCAAAGAAGTATGACAGAGGAGAGAATTCCTCCTTGCACTACCATGTACGTAGGCATTAATGCTCTTGTGCGTGCCTGTCTGTAGTCTTTATAATGAAACAAACTATAAAGGTTGTGGTGATGGGAGGCGTGGAATTTGGAATCCTGGTTAAGACCCTGCTTGGGTCAGAGTACCTGATTTGGAGTGCCTGGTTCATGCCCTGGAGCCTCTTCTGATCCAGCTTCCTGCTGATGGGCACCCTGGGAAGCAGCAGAATGATGGCTCAGGTGTCTGGTGCCTGCCACCCTTGTGGCGACTGCACTGGAGTTCTGAGCTCCTGGATCAGACCTAGCCCAGCCCTGGCTGTTAGAGCATTTAAAGAATGAATCAGTGGATGGATGATCTTAATGTGTCTGTCTGTCTGTCTCTCTCATCTCTGCCTTTCAAATAAAAAGCAAAAATGAATAAAAGTCTTTTTTTTTAATGGAGAGATTATGCTGGGTCTTCACTCCTGTAGAGGGCAAAGAAGATGTTTGCTTTAGAAATGTAAAGGTGTGGCATTGTGGCACAGTGGATTAAGCTTCTTTCAATTCAGCTGCCTGCTATTGTGCCTGGTATAGCAAGCAGCTCCTTGGGCCCCTGCTACCCAGGCGGAAGCTCTAATTGGAGTTCCTCGCTTTGACTTGGCCCAGTCCCAACTGTTGTGGTCCTTTGGGAGTGAACCAGCAGATGGGAGATCTCTTTGTCATTCTGTCTTTCAAAAAAAAAAGAATCTTAAAGCTTAGAAGTCTAAAGAATTAGTTATATTGGCGGGCGCCGCGGTTCAATAGGTTAATCCTCTGCCTTGCGGCGCCGTCTCACTGGGTTCTAGTCCCAGTCAGGGCGCCGGATTCTGTCCCGGTTGCCCCTATTCCAGGCCAGCTCTTTGCTGTGGCCCGGGAAGGCAGTGGAGGATGGCCCAGGTCCTTGGGCCCTGCACCCTCATGGGAGACCGGGAGAAGCACCTGGCTCCTGGCTTCAGATCAGCACGATGCACTGGCTGCGGCGGCCGTTGGAGGGTGAAGCAATGGCAAAGGAAGACCTTTCTCTCTGTCTCTCTCACTGTCCACTCTGCCTGTCAAAAAAAAAAAAAATTAGTTATATAGATACCTGATCTGTTAAATGCTAGTATATTTTCTTCTTTAACAATAATCACTCCCCCTCCCCAAAGGAAAGAAGAATAGAAGGTGTACACCGTGTAGGCATGGTTTCTCACGTCTCTTGTATGTCTAGATAGGAAGGTCCTATGAATGGATGACACTTAGATTCCTTAAAGCAGAGTTTTATAGAAAGCCTTAATTGCCTCATTTGCATTTTGATTTATCATCTTTCTGGAATCCAATAAAACTAAAGCTAATATTATGAACCCAGCACTATGCTGAAAAGTAATGGTAGGGCCGGCACCGCGGCTCACTAGGCTAATCCTCCACCTGCGGCGCCGGCACTCCGGGTTCTAGTCCTGGTTGGGGCGCCAGTTCTGTCCAGGTTGCTCCTCTTCCAGTCCAGCTCTCTGCTGTGGCCCGGGAAGGCAGTGGACGGACAGCCCAAGTCCTTGGGCCCTGCACCTGCATGGGAGACCAGGAGGAAGCACCTGGCTCCTGGCTTCGGATCAGCGCAGTGTGCCGGCCGTAGCAGCCATTTGAGGGGTGAACCAACAGAAGGAAGACCTTTCTCTCTGTCTCTCTCTCTCACTAATTCTGCCTGTGAAAAAAAAAGTAATGGTAGAACCTGAAGATGCAAATCTTACGCCCTTGTTGACTACATGAGCTTGGCGGGAAAGAAAAGGCACAGGCAATTTAAGATAGTGTTCACTGAAATGCCGAGTTGTGTGGTCTAGGCTAAATCATTTGGGAGTTGAGTGAAGGGCGTTGTTGCTATTTTATGTTTAGTGATGGTTTTCAAATAAGATTTAAAGATATCATTTCTTTAAAACTGGGCATCGTTGTAATTGAAACAGCAGTACTTAGAAAAATTTCAACTAACATTTTAAAAACCTATCTATATATTTTTCAAATAGTATGTTTCAATTAAAGAGGAGTTTCTATTAGCATATCTTAGTACTTGTTTATTTAGAGAAACCTTAATTTTTTTAAAACATTCATTTATTTTGAAGGAGAAAGGGAGAAACAGAAAGATCTTCTATCTGCTGGTTCACTCCCCACATGGGCACAATGGCCAGCACTCTTCCAGGTGGAAGCCAGAAGCTTCATCCAGGTCTGCCAGACGGGTGGAAGGGACCCAAATACTTAGGCTATCCTTAATTGCTTTTCCCAAGCCATGAGCAGGGAGCTGGATCCATAGAGGAGCAGCCAGGACACGAACCAGTGCCCATACAGAATAATCTGAATTAAACCCTAAATACTAATTATACTAGTTATCAGAGTGGCCAGGTGGGTTATTCTGTGCCAGGAGTGAGAAATCTTTTTTTCTTCCAGGAGCCATTTTGAAATGTATAACATTCATGGGCCATACAAAATTAACATAAAACTGGGCTACTGTTTATTGAATTTCAAGTCCTGCCTACAGTTTGCCTTGGCAGGGTCAGACCCAGTGATTTCACAGGCCTTGTGGACATTCCCCACCCCTGTCTATGGTCTGTTTTGCTCCTTCCTTCTTATGAATTAGAACAGGTAAGATAACAACAACAAAAAATATTTGTTTTATTTGAAAGGCAGAGTTACAGAGAGAGGGAGAGATGGAGGGAGAGAGGTCTTCCATCTACTAGTTCACTTCCAAAATGGCTGCAGTGCTAGAGCTGAGCCAATCCAATACTAGGAGCCAGGAGCTCCTTCCAGGTTTCCTATGTGAGTGCAGGTGCCCAAGCGCTTGAACCATTTTCTGCTGCTTTCCCAGGTGCATTAGCAGGGAGTTGGATCAGAAGTGGAGCATCTGGGACTTGTCTGAACCATTGCCCATATGGGATGCCAGCACTGCAGTGCCAGCTTCAAAGACAAACCTTTCTAAGGAGAGACCGAAGTGTTCATTTATTTTTATATAAAAGACCTATTTTACTTTGTGTATTCTAAATTTTGACTCTGTTTTTGGATTCCTCTACAGGTTTGAGTGACATTTCTCCGTCAACAAGCCTCCCTCCTCTGGTTGAAGGCCAGCTACGCTGCTTTCTAAAACTTACTATTAATAAAGTTGTATGGAAGATTGCAAAGCCTCCCACTTGTGTGCTTGTCCGAGTGAGATGGTGGGGAGAAACATCCGATGGAACCCTCTTTTGTCCCAAGGATGCGTTGCAGACTGAACCAAGCACCGTGAGAACAACCACACGTTACGCTATTCGCTGTGGTCCAAAGCAGTTTACCTCTTACCTAACAGGTAACTTTTTATTTTATCGTTTCACCTGCAGACTTAATACGAAGCATGTGGTTATGTTGTCGGCAGTTGATGTTATGTGTACCTTGTATCTATGGGCAGTGTTAATGTTTCTAAAATTCGTTTATTTACTTGACAGTAATAGAATGAGAGAGAGAAAGAGTGCTATATCTTCCATGCTCTGATTCAAGCTAAAGCCAGTAGCCCAGAAATCCATCCAGGTCTTCCACATGGGTGCTGGGGGCCCAAATGCTTAGGCCGTCTTCTACTACCTTCCCAGGCACATTAGAAGGGAACTAACGAATCAGGAGCGGACCATCCAGGACTTGAGCTGGTGCTCCAATAGGGGAGCAGTGGCTTAACCTGCTGTGCTGTGGTGCCAGCCATGGGCATTGTTAATTATTGAGAAGTCAAAGAGGTGTTGTAATAACCTTCACTTGCTGAGCGTACACTGTGTGCTAGCAGTTGATATTCTTCTTCATATCCTTACAATATCCCTACAAGACAGGGTTTTTTTTGTTTGTTTGTTTTTTGTTTTTGTATTTTAGAGACAACAAAACTTAGATTCAAAGAGATAAAATGAATACTCTCTAAGGTCACATGGTTGATAGATAAATGGTAGAAGTAGGGTTTGCACCCCCTTCTGTGATACCAGAACTCATACCCTTTTCACTGTGGCACTCTTTAGGTAATAACTGATAGTCTCTGCTCTAAGGCTTACTTATGCTTGAGGAAAGAGAATATAGATGGAATACTTACAAATAGTACAAGATAATATTTGTTGAATGCTAGATGCGTGCTTTAGTGAGTTAGGAATATAGATATTCAGAAAATGAAATGATAACCTCTCTAGGGATCCAGAAGGCAAAATGTCTTCTTCATTTCTGTGCAAGGAAAGTATTCTAAGTGCTCTGTGTTCTTGCTCCATTAGAGTCAGGCTTTCTCAGAAACACATTTTGGATAGTGGAGCTATTTATCAGTTCAATTAGATAAAAATTGAGTATCATGCAAATATTGTTAGGCTAGGAATCTTGGAGAATCAGGTTAATTAAAGATTCACCTATTCTTAAGTAATTTATATTCCATTAAGGAAAGAATTTTGAAACATCAAAAATGTAAAAAACTCATGCTATAATTCATTCAGAACGTATATATCGAACACTTAGCAAGTGCAGGGGTGGGAAACATTTTTTATACCAAGGGCCATTTGGATATTTATGACATTATTCAGGAGACATACATAATTATCAACTTAAAAATTAGCCTGCTATAGATTTATTGAATTTCGAGTCCTTCTGGTTGCCTTGGCAGGGCCAGACCAAATGGTTTCGCAGACCTTATAGGGCCCATGGACCAGATGGTCTCCACCCCTGTGATTGACATTAGATGCTATGAAGATTACAGGAATGAATCAGCAAAAAATTATTCAGAATGGTTTTAAACTTTTACTTCACAAAGAAGTTTAGTTATAATAGGTAGAAAACAATAATTGCTATCAAAGGAAACTCAGAGATATTCTAGGTACTGTAAACCTAAGGTTTAACAAAGGAGGATTACAAATTCACGAAGGGAGAAGATACCTACGAATAGCATAATCACCAGGTCAAACATTTATTTGAGCATCCTGTGATATAATGATTCATTGTAATTGGCATTTGAAATTGTCACAAACTGAGATTTGGGGAAAGTCTCTTAGCTCTGACTATAAAAAGAGGTCAGTTAACTGCCTTTGCACCTTCTAGACATTTTCACAAAGAATGAGCCTGATTGGATGAGTGGAACACGGGCTTTGGGTAACTGTAGGATTGATACAGTATGACCTATCTGAGCCTGCTTCATTCCAAAAGGAGACAGAAACATCAGTCTCATAGAGCTCTTAAGAGAATTAATGAGACATGGATGAACTTGATTGTTAGTAAATAGCCAACAAATATTGGTCTGCCTTCCTTATTATTACTATGTACCTCATTTTATAATTTACAAAGCACTGGCTGGTGCCGCGGCTCAATAGGCTAATCCTCCACCTTGCGTCGCCGGCACACCGGGTTCTAGTCCCAGTCGGGGCACCGGATTCTTTCCCGGTTGCCCCTCTTCCAGGCCAGCTCTCTGCTGTGGCCAGGGAGTGCAGTGGAGGATGGCCCAAGTGCTTGGGCCCTGCACCCCATGGGAGACCAGGAGAAGCACCTGGCTCCTGCCTTCAGATCAGCGCGGTGCGCTGGCCGCAGCGCGCCAGCCGTTGCAGCCATTGGAGGGTGAACCAATGGCAAAAGGAAGACCTTTCTCTCTGTCTCTCTCTCTCTCTCACTATCTACTCTGCCTGTCAAAAAAATAATAATAATAATTTACAAAGCACTGTATCTATTAGCTCATGATTTTTAGATAATCCTCTGGAGTAGTTAAGACAGACTGTGATATGTTAAGTAATTTGCCTGAAGACATATGTAACAGCTATTTGGCAGCCACCACGTGGGAGGACGCTGTGCTACCTCTTCTGTGTGCCGTGTCCCATTTCCTCACACAGCAGGGATGTGGGCTTTGTGATTGCCTCTTTTGCAGACAGTTGTGGCTTACTCAGAAATAGCTTTGAATATTGGAGCCAAGACACAATCATGATCTTCTAATTATAAGTCCTTTGTGCATTTCATTACAGTGTTGAACAAATGGTGGAAATGAGCCATTTTCTCAACTTTTGTAAGAATACATTCAGAAATTATACTATCTTAAAATGGTCTTAGATTTCATATTACCTACATTGTATCTCTCCTAGGAATTATGACCATGCAGGTATTATGTCTAAGTAACTAATTGAAGACTATTATTAAGGAATTTGTTTCTATTCCTCTTACTTTTTTTTCCTTTTTAAAGATTTATTTATTTATTTGAAAGAATTACACAGAGAGAGAAGGAGAGGCAGAGAGGGAGAGGGAGAGGGAGGTCCTGCACTGCTGGTTCACTCCCTGGATGGCCACAACGGCCGGAGCTGCGCTGATCCGAAGCCAGGAACCTCCTCCTGGTCTCCCATGTGGGTGCAGGGGCCCAAGGACTTGGACCATCCTCCTCTGCTTTCCCAGGCCACAGCAGATAGCTGGATCAGAAGAGGAGCAGCCGGGACTTGCACCAGCGCCCATTTGGGATACTGGCACTGCAGGTGGCAGCCTTACCCACTATGCCACAGCACTGGCCCCTATTCCTCTTACTTCTAAGTGCTCTGAATAGCTTATACAACTCAGGAGTAAGCAGCTTGATACTCCCAGGAGGGAGTCTTACCCTTCCAGCTATGCAAGAGCAGCCCTTTGTCTAATTGAAAACTAGAAATGGTGAGAATGGAAGAACTGAGATTTGTTGCTTTTATATTTCAAAACCAAAGCCTGTTTTAAGAGCATTATCCCTTTGGGGCTGGCGCTGTGGGATAGCCGGTAAAGCCATCACCTGCAGTGCCAGCATCCCATATGGGTGCCGGTTCAAGTCCCAGGCTGCTCCACTTCCGATCCAGCTCTCTGCTATGGCCTGGGAAAGCAGTAGAAGATGTCCCGGCCGGCACCGAGGCTCAATAGGCTAATCCACCACCTTGCGTCGCCGGCACACCGGGTTCTAGTCCCGGTCAGGGCGCCGGATCTGTCCTGGTTGCCCCTCTTCCAGGCCAGCTCTCTGCTGTGGCCCCGGAAGGTAGTGGAGGATGGCCCAAGTGCTTGGGCCCTGCACCCCATGGGAGACCAGGAGAAGCACCTGGCTCCTGGCTTCGGATCAGCGCAGTGTGCCGGCCGCAGCGCGTCAGCCGTGACGGCCACTGGGGGGTGAACCAACGACAAAAGGAAGACCTTTTTCTCTGTCTCTCTCTCTCTCTCTCACTATCCACTCTGCCTGTCAAAAAAAAAAAAAAAGAAGATGGCCCAAGTGCTTGGACCCCTGCATCCACATGGGAGACCCAGAAGAAGCTCCTGGTTCCTGGCTTCAGATCGCACAGCTCCGGCTGTTGAGGCCAAATGGGGAGTGAACCAGTGGATGGAAGACCTCTCTCTCTCTGCCTCAACTTTCTCTGTGTAACTCTGACTTTCAAATAAATAAATAAATCTTAAAAAAAAAAAAAAAAGAGCATCATCCTTCAAATATCTTAGTATACTAAGTATTTTTATCCACTGTAAATTTATTTTTCTCAGTGCAAGATATCAGTCATTCTTTAAATTTTTATTGTTCTTTTGTCTTTGGATTTACACTCTCTCATCCTCAGTGATATGGTAAGTACCTGGTGTATTTGAAATTAAAATAATTGTTTAAGTAAAAAAGTTTATCCATGTATACCCACTGCCTACTTCCAAAGAAATGAAGGTAATGAAAACTATCTGAATATATTATAATTGTTTCTGATTAGATATGGCTGTGTTGGTGCTGGAAGTAATCACCAGACTTGATCATCTTCCAGTTGGTAGAGTTGAAATCAGTGGACTAGCTCAGCTTTCTCCAACCCATCAAATCAATGGATTTTTTACCATTGTTTCACCAACATCTAAAAAACTTGGAGAGCTCCAGGTAAAAATTCTTTAATTTTTTGCTACACAGAATAAAATTTTTTGGACAGAAATAGTTGAGTCTGTTTGTAGAATTATAATGTTCATGACTTCCATGTATCATGCTGAATCCCATCTTCTACCTTTGCCCACGTTTTGCCCATTGACTAACGGCCTACCTTTGTTTCCCTCTTGTCCAGATCCATGTAGTGATTTATTGCCATCTCAAGTTCCAGGAGTCCTTCACACTTCCTACTATACTCATTCTTTGTGTTCTATTCATAAAAGTATTAATCACATAATCGTTGTCCAGTTATAATCCTACATACAAGAGTAATTCAGAAGGTTTGTGGGAAATGGAATTAAAAGAGCAGTTTATGTTGACACAAAAAAAGTTTGGAAATTCATTCATATAAAAGGTCTTCAAAAAGTTCATGGGAGGGCCAGTGTTTTGGCGTAGCAGGTACAGCTGCCACCTACAACACTGGCATCCCATATGGGCGCTGGTTCATGTCCCAGCTACTCCACTCTGATCCAGCTTCTCGATCATGGTCTGGGAAAGCAGCAGAAGTTGTCCCAAATGCTTGGGCCTCTGCATCCATGTGGGAGACCCAGATGAAGCTCCTGGCTTCAGCCTGACCCAGCCCTAGCCGTTACAGCCATTTGGGCAGTGAACCAGGGAATGGAAGGTCCTCTCTCTGTGTGTGTTTCTCCCTAACTCTTTAGATAAATCTTTTTTAAAAATGAAGTTTATGGAAAAATGTACATTGTGAAAAAATATTTATGGGATTCTAAGTTTTTTATACCAAAATAAACATTTTAATTCCATTTTTCCACTAACTTTTAGAAGCACCCTCATAGTCTCCACAATTGAGTATTAATAGTAGGCTTTTTCTCATTTCTAGATTACTAAGAGGTAAGACTGTTTTCTAGTTTCCTTGTTTTCCCCCCAACTTCCAATACAGTGCCAAGCAGTAATTGACTCGTTTAAGTGATGTCTTTGATGTATTTATTCACTGATTCAACTTACATTTTTTTTGTATCCTGCTGTATGTGCCACTAACCAATCATCATACAGCAATGAGAGGTGGTCTTTACAGAATACATGTGCTGTAGATAAGCCCAGGATGCTGGGAAAGAACACAGACTATGGATCCCTTTCCTTTTTGATTCTTTTTGAAAGAGCTTTCTAGAGAACCCTGAATGTTCAGATCTATTAGAAATTTCAGGGGGTTTACGCCTTGTCAAGTGTCTTCTAAAATTCACATAGAAAATCAAAAGCATGAATTAGAGACAGTCCAATAAGGAGAAAAAAATGCAACATTATAAAATGTAAGAACATGTTGCAAAAACCACATTAATAACTTCATGATGTCGTGAATTTATTCTTTTCTGATGATGGCATAAATTTGTATCAGGACTTAAAAACAATAATAATTCCTAACTGCCACTTCTTATTGCTAATGTATTTACAGAAGAAATGTTATGATATCTGGCATCTGCTTCATAACAATCCAATAGCAGAGCAGGGTTTGGGGAAGGAATAGATGAAGCCTGGTTAGTCAGATGCTGATAATTGTCAAAGCTAGACAATAGGTACCTGGATTCATTATATCTTTTTTCTAACTTTGTATATGTTTTAAATTTTCCATAGTAAAAAATTAAGTTTTTATATTAATTTTTTAAAAGGGTCATTGAATACAATTGGTGACACTGACTTAGAGCAGAGTATATATCATTGTGACAGTTGAGAACATTAAAAGCAAAGATGAGCTCCTATCATTTCCAAGGAAGAGATAAACAGTCACACAGAAAATGTTAAGTAGTATGGCTTTAAACTTCTCAGCAGCAGCATTAGGAACCAGAAGACAGCTCAGTAATGCTTTCAGAATGTTGGATGAAAATGGCGTAGAATTCTATCCAGGGAAGTATCTTATCTAGTATAGAAGATAAGAAGTTTTCACGTGCACAGTCTTGAAAATTTATACCTCTCTCACACCTTTCCTGACAAAGCAGCTGAAGAACTTCTACCAAGATGAGGGCATAAACTAAAAAAGACAGGGTGGGCTGTTAGAAATAACCCAACACAGGAGAGGCAGAGCGAATTCTTTGATTTAAGGTGAAGGGAGATCCATGGATGGCAAATAGTCCAAATTGAAGTATGTGCTTAAGGCCTAGAAGAGGTTTCTCAAAAAGAAAAAGTTACAGAATAACTGTTGTGTCTGAGAATCTAAGATATTGAGACAATTGGCAGATAATTTGGAATTGACTTAAGAGTAAGAAAAATAAATATGAAACAAATGAGAAAACAATGGCATTGCCCATTTTGAGGGAAAAAATACTTAATTGAAATATCTCCTTTTTCAGCTGTAAGTTGAAAACAAGTTATTCATATTGTAGTTTTGGTTAGATCAGGAATCGTGGTTAGAGTATTACCATTTTAGCAGATTGGGAGGATAAGGGAAGTGAACAGATGTGAGATACAGCTAAATTCTTATTTTTCATATTGAGAAATCAAAGGATACTGCCCAGGGCCAGTGTTGTGGTGCAGGGCATCAAGTTGCTGCTTGCCACACCAGCATACCATATCTAGCATCCCTTATCAGAGTTCCAGTTTGAGTCGCAGCTGCTCCACTTCTAATCCAGCTCCCAGGTAATGTGCTTGATAAGGCAGCAAAAGATGGCCCAGGTGCTTGAGCCCCTACTACCTGTGTGGGAGACCCAGATGGAGTTTCTGGCTCCTGGCTTCAGGCTGGCCCAGCCCTGGTTATTGAGGCCATTTGGAGAATTAACCAATTGAGGGAATATCTTTCTGTGTCCCTATTTCTGCCTCCCTCTCTCATTCACTCTGTCTTCCAGATAAATAATTTTTTTTTTTTTTTTTTTTTACAAAACATGGTGCCTGACAACTTGGGAGAAATTAAGATATATACATTAAGCATAAATATGATCATTTTATGTGGAACTATAAAACTAAATACCACAATGGGAGTTGAAAATCATTATTTCCTCTGGGAAAAGAAAGAAGGGGTCTAGATGAGGAACGTTTTGATAACAAAATTATAGAACTCGTTAAATTGTGTGCATGTTTTATATTCATTTAAAATAACTTCTAAAAAAAAAAGCCAGCACAGTGAATGATGGAGCTTGAATTCTTGCTGTGTCACTGCTTTGCTGCCCCAAAGGGCAGCGTTGAGTTGACAAAGCATGGGATCTCTGGAAGCTGAAGAAAGCAGCTTTAGTGTTGGCACAAAGGGCAAAAGCAGGTGTAGTCTGAGTGGAGATCCAAGGGAAAATAAACATGGTTGATTACATGTTAATTACAGTGAAACTGACTGAGAGAGGAACCTTAGTTGTATTTCATTATTGGTATCCATCAGATGTTAAAACATATGGGTCTGGCTGAAATCAGACATTTAAAAAATACCAAATTCATGGTATTTTATTAGCATGTAATATATATACAAACACAGATACAGTTATATGTGTATATACACAATTATTTTAAATTTTGAGAAACAAGAATGTTTAAATTTTTTGTTTTGAAATCCATTCCTTTGATATGTCCAGAAACTTAGTGCTTTTCCTTCTGTACCAAGTTGTTGATAACAGGTATTTTTTATATAATGAGCATTAATTACAGTATTCATTTCAAAGCCATTCAATTAATAAGATTTAGTTTTCATTCAGTTAAATAACAAATAACCATTCACAAACATAGGTATTTTTAAACAAGAGTAGATGTATAGGATACCACTTCTAAGGTACTCATAAAATTTAAAATTTTAAACATCATAGTAATCCTAAGTATTATACTCTGCTTCATTAATCTCCAGGTGTTATACTCTCAGTATATATTAAGAAAGTAGCGGTAAGCATTTGGTACAGTTGTTAAGGCACTTCTTAGGGTACCCACATACCATATTGCAGTGCCTGCTTCAAGTTGCAGCTCTGCTTTCCATCCAGCCTCTCACTAGTGCAGTCCCTGGGAAGCGGCAGATGATGGCTCAAGTACTTAGGTCCCTGCCACTCATGTGGGAGACCTGGAGTAAGTTCTGGGCCCTTGACTTTGGTTTGGCCTGGCCTTACTTATTGCAAGCATTTGGGGAGTAAATCAGCAATAGAAGATTGGTCTGTTTCTCTGCCTTTCAAATAAAATGAAAATTTAAAAACTTTTTTTTAAAAAATTGAGAAAGATGGGCACCAGGTTCTAGTCCCAGTTGTTGTTCCTCTTCCAGTCCAGATCTCTGCTGTGGTTTGGGAGGGCATTAGAGGATGGCCCAAGTGCTTGGGCCCCTGCACCCACATGGGAGACTAGGAAGAAGTACTTGGCTCCTAGCTTCGGATCGGCGTAGCTCTGCCCATAGCGGCCATTTGGGGAGTGAACCAACTGAAGGAAGACCTTTCTCTCTGTCTCTCTCACTCTATAACTTTATCTGTCAAATAAATTAAAAAAAAAAATTGAGAAAGGTAAATTGAACTGTTTCAATTTTCCTAGAAATTTGAATCTTTAAAAATCCACTAGAGATATCGGTTCTGTTTTACAATTTAGGAATCTATTTCCTATCACTTCCATTTATAGAACTCCTATTTCAGCATAGAAAAATACAGAAATATAGGACAGATCATTCCTTGCCAAATAAATTTTTATATAATGCAATCATTGAGGATTGAGTAGATTAAGTCACTTATTATGTGGTTCTTCTGAATACACTTGCAGACAAATAATCAGCTTGTTTACACAGGCTGTAATCTCAACTAAAATGGCCCTCTACCCTTCTGTCTCTGCTGCTGCTTTGAGGCTGGGATATCTTCTTGGACAACATAAACCATAAGTCATTAAGTCAAGCTCAAACATATTTCTTTAACACCACACCCAGTGCTAAGCCAACTCATGCCCATATAGTAATAACAAGCCACCGTAACTGCTTATCCAGTTTATCTGGTACAACATTGACCACAGGAATATATATTAGATGTTAATTATATGCATATGTTGTTTGATTTTAGCTTTTTGGACAA